CCGTGACGAAGAGGTGGTGTGTGATCCGGTTCCGTGAAGAGTGTTCTTAAGTCGTGTTCCTGCCGTTCGAGCGCGAGAACAAGTAACCCGTGTCAAGAACAGGACCGCCTGAACTCGACCATAGTGATGTGTTGGTAAAACGAGAGCGCTGGACAGTTTGGGCCATCTGCGCACCGACAGGCCGAACCTCCACTTACATTTTAACTCTGGTCCAAAACATTTCAATTAACACTCGCATATCATGAATTTTCAAACGAGAGTGCTCTCTCTTCCTAAATGCGAATTAAGAGTGCATGATCTCATTCCTGCGTGCCAGTTCAACAGTTGTTGCTCTAAAGTACGAGATGATTGTCCTGATTGGATGCACGAGGGCGTCATTTACACACCTCATCATACATCGTCAGTCTAAAGTTCGTAAAAAAAGGAGTAACTAATCTGTGTTTACTCTAGGAAGAAATCCCTGGTATTAATATTTGGTATGGTGTCCCTACATGACATTTATAGTTCGTTTCTTTTCAATCCCTCGGAGACTCTTTCAATGACAATGGATCTTAACCTTTGCTGGTTTGTTCCTCTGTTGTTACACATGAATTCTCTCCACTTAAACAGTTATTGAATAGGTCTAAGGAAGGTTATTAAAAGGGTTTGCACTGCCCGTTGGTGACCTACCCAATGTTGTAAACTGAAGTATTGTGGAAGTTATTGAGAAGATACAAAATGGGCTACAGTAAATGCACGCAAACCGCAATGAGTAGGCCTATGCACTCTTTGTGTGTCGGTGTGTTTTATATTAGCCGCAGTATTTAGGCCTATATAAAGAAATGGTTCCTCTCTTGCTAAACTATATTGTTTGTGTTTTGCACTATTGTTTTACCATTTTGTACCCACTTACTTTGCTGATAACATCTGGCCTCCATGGAAATGTCCACGTACAATTGTGTATTCCGAATCCTTTGTTGTTGGATGGCGACATATACGCTTCAGAACTCAAAATCAATATTTCCAACCTTATGTTATTTGGAAAGCATGACAATACAAAATGGAGAATGTTACAAAAATCACTCTACGGTAGTATCTTTAATCCATTCCAAAAGCAGCTATTTTAAGGTGTTTTTTTGTTATGTACGCACCTGTTGATAAATATTTCAAGTATAGGTCTATGCATTAATTTTTGTGCCCTTATTGTACAGTTCTTTTGTTCTCGCCCTAACCATATCTTTAATAATGTGGCTTCGTCGCGGTGGGTGCAATATGGACATCACCAGATTTGATGTTTATCTGTTAATAAAAAAAAAAAGAAAAACAAGAAAAAAAATGTACACAAAAAAAGTGAAATAGACCTGTCGCACAGTGACGTCAAGCACTGTTTACTGCTGCACTTTCCTGTGACAAGTGAGGTGGGACACGATCCATCAAGCACCGCAGGAAAGCACGCATAGAAACAAGGCGTGTTTCGGATCTATTCCATCAAAATGTCTATGTATACATCAAAGGTTTCTCGATCTACGCACAAGAATGGTGATACACACCTGGTAACCAAGTAGTTTATCCAAGCCTGGATTGTTCAAGGGGCACATAATTCAACTTAACCCACATTCGTTGAAACTTGTCCAAAATGACTCTGTCTGATCGTCGACATCAGCTCAGGATAAACGCGCTCCAATTCTTGAAAGGGAGCAAGCGTTGGTATTTGTGGTAAGCAATCTCTACGAGTGAAACTACAATTTTTCGTTCTTTCTTCTTGGCCCATTGTTTTGCGCTGAGCAAGGCATCAGTGGGCTTCAAAACTACCACTCTGTACCTTCCCCTTGGATGCGGAGCTAATCTGCCATACTGAACAAAAAGGCAGAGACAATGTAACCTTTCCAATATTGCATAAGTGTGGAATTCAAACTACCCTCGAAAAGAAAATATACCCAAGATAATTTAATACAAAATAATCGACTACAATCTCTGCTGAGCGTTCACAGACACAAGAAAACATACGCCTTCATCAATTTTGGTATTGTGCGAGCAGTAGCACCCGGTGCTTGGACCCGACTTGTTTATTGACATGGCAACTTCGTTTTAAGATTAAGAAAATCACAACGATCATGGTAACATTTGCACTTTACGGTCCAACAAAATGAATAATGTTAAATCGCTATCAACGAAATGATCCTGGTGGTCGCTAGATACCACAAAACCCGTCTTTTTTATTGACAACTTTAGGAAAAGTAGAAACCTGTGCCTGGCATATGCAGACCACCGCTCTCAGACAAGTTAAGCAATAAAGAACATAATACGAAATTTTAGACACATTTACCCAATTATAAGAAATAAGAATTTTCCTGTGCTGTCGTTGCTGATAGCAAGCGTGAATTAAGCCTGACGCATTTATCCACTTGCAGCACAAACCACATTCAACACCCTGTTCAAGATCTCCACGATGATATCTGAACTGTACACTCATTAACATATTAGTGATAAATGCAGTGTATCCTAATTCGTTTTGGACCTCAACCGAATACATTTCCATTTTGAAACAGGTGCTCAACAGAAAGATTACTTGACATCAACAATCAGCTTGGCATTTTGAGGAATTACCAGTTTTCAAAAAATGCATTGAATTACATGGTAAGCAGAGCCATATTAAATTGTGCTTATCCTGAAATTGTCCCTGCAATACTCAAATGTTGGATGAAGCAGGTGTGTATGGAAGTCAAGAGACGCTTGCAAGTGCATCCTCTTTTTCAACACAACTGTGAAAGAACGTGTAAAAAATATGCCAGGTTCATTTTAATATCACACATGTACCGGTGCATTTGGGTAGGCAATGGTGTAGTGCACTACATACTGATACATAACACACTCATGGACAGTAACCGTATGCTGGGCAATACATATGAAAAAGTACGAAATCACATTCATAATTTACCATGAAAATAACCCCAAAAAATTTAGTTTCGTTTGACTCTTTCGGTCAAAAACTGTAGTCACATATTTTGAAAATACCACTGTAAATTGCGATTTGAGGGATTTGTACGCATGATGGATATATAGCTTTTTTGTCTGCGTCTATTTCCTGGTTTCCCCACCATCTGTAGTGCAATGCAATGTAATGCGATTCAGCAACAATATTTTTTCCATAATGCCATGTATGGAACTTATGACGAAAATATGTGTAGACAACAAAATAATTTCAAGGAGTAAGATGCAAAAAAATAAAGCAAACAACGAAAAAAAGTAGAAGCTGCATGGGAAGCTGCACGGCAATAATCCCATCGATATAAAGCACGAGTAGGCCAATTCTGCACCGTGCAAGACAATAGACTATTTTGGGATCCAAAGGCCTGACGAGAAGCTTTGTAATCGTACAATTTCCCTCTGAAATGTGATTTCCAATTTTTATATTAACCCGAATGCACAAAACCGTCTCTGTGAAGCTGCTTTTGTCGTCAATTTGTCTGCGACGTTGGTGCGCATGACTGGTGAATACGTTTGTGGATAAATTGTTAATTTAATACCATGCAATATATGCAAACATATGAGAAGTACCCTCCAAAAAACAATAATTTTGTTACCAGCCAACCACGACTACAATTTAGAAAGAAATCGATGCATATATAATTGTACCATTTGAGTTCAATATTCAAATCAGTTGGAGAGTAATCACTACTCATCACTACTGGGTTGTACGAATGAAAACGAGCGTTTGCTTTTACTACCAATAAAATTTTAAACTTTTACTCGTGTTTGTAAACACGAGTAAAAAAAGTTTTTAGTGGAATGCATTTACTAAAAGTATTTACACTTTACTTTTTAGCTCTTGCTATAGGCGTACATGATAAACATTTGCATCGTTTTCTGTGAATAAATGGGGAAAAATGCTTTACAATGATAGTATAATCATTTTTCAAGACTCTACAGGTCAGGGCAACATTGGAAAAAGAAGGAAACTATAGTAATGTACAAAATTGCAGCGTTCATTCTAACACAGCTCATCAGCTCCTACAGCGGTGTGTGTACGTGTGCGTACAAAGTAGAAGCCCTATTGTGACAACCATTCGGCGGTACAATCAGCCACAAGCATTAATTAATCGAAGCATTTGCTAACATACAAGCATTTGCTAACTCTACACGTTTTTACTTTTCAGTAAATGCTCTTTCTAATAGCTTGACCTCGACAGCATTTGCAAGAGTTTATTCATACGACCCATTATATTTCCTATAGGGTAAAAGAACTACGTTAAATAAAACCGCGTTTGGAGCCTGTGTGTGCGCGTCGCCAACAAGTGCTGCTCCCACTACAACCTGTCATTGCAAAATAACATTGCCTTCAAACATGACAATTCTTTCGTTGGAAAACGGTTGTTTTTGAATACATAACAAATCCTCTGTTCAGGCACAAAACGATAAGTCACATAACTCACATCGGTCTGTTTGCACAAAGCTGCACGTATAGTGCCAAGTTAAATTTAGAAGGGATCAACTTCTTCCACAAAACTACAGGACACAGTGCAGAAAATTCCCTTAAAGAGATAAGATGAAAAAATCATTGATTTACATAGTCTACCTTCCATTCCTATTGTTGTGTTGGGGGTGGCTGCTCTACGGAGATCAAACTTCGGAGAATTTTCAGACTTTTTGAGGAGGAAATAATCTGTACTCCTCTAATAAAAAGCGCAGTGTACTTTCCCATAATTTTATTGTATTTGTGCAGTTTCAAGAAACAAACAAGCTAATTTCAAGGCGTGCACGGGAAGAAAACAAGGGACTAACAGGACACCCTCTTGATGGGGGCTCCAACTATTTGACTTTACATATACCCAAGGACGTATATAAAAAACCTGGACTTGCTACGCTTTTGTATGAAAAAGAAGCCAACCAGCAGCCATTTTACCGAGCCGAATACAAAAGCGTGGATTGGCCCCCTTCTATTGACGTCAGGAAGAACAAAGGCGGGCATTGCCAGGAAAGCTTTGTATTCGGCTCGGTAAAATGGCCGCGAGTGTATTCAATGACTCTATAAGCTGATTAAGGGCATTGCGAGTCCAGATTTTATTATACACGTCCGTGCATATAACATACGCATTGGGACTCGAATAGATTCGAGTCACAGCATTAGTTACTTGTTGCAACTCTGGAATCTTGGCCACAGATTCTCAATATGTCATACATTTGTCGTGAGCTTTGCAGGTGATAAATTATCATATTGCAGGTACGACTGCTGGGGCTCGAGCCCCAGTGGCAGCTATAGTCAAAATTTTTGTTCCCAATGGGCTTGATATTTAACCATTTTAAACACACTCCAACAAAGACATCCTCTATTGGCAGAAGTTTGGTGAATAATGACACTTCAACAATCCTCCTTGTCACATCTGCGGACATTACGTAACCCGACCCTGTGAGGTATGGCGGGAACACACTTTCAGGAAACATCTCCTTGGGCATGTATATCTTACTCCTTGGGTTCCGTATCGGGATGTTGCGGCTCAATAGATTTCCAACTGCGTAGTTCGCTGATGGGGTTGATGTCTCGCTAAGGAGCCGGACGAGTTTGTCGATGTTGACGTATACGTCATCATCTGTCTTCATGACATACGAGGCGTGGGGACAGTGCGTGCTGGCCCACTTCAACCCCATGATGGTCTTTAGTGTCAGGTTCCTGTAGGTGTCTTCGAAATCCTCCTGGAGCACATCGTGGTGTTTGCTAGACTCTTCCTTCAGCTGACGCTGAATGGTGGCGTTCTGATCGTACCCAAACAGAAACAGCGTGACAACTGGCTTGCCCCTCACTTCCAGCGGGTTTCCCCAGGTCTCGCGAATGGCCGTTCGCCGCTCGGTGTGTGCGTGACTGCTGGTCACAAGCACCAGGAGGAACACTTCCTTGGGGTTCCCTGCCGCATTGTAGCAGGCAAAAGGTTCGGCTATGAGGAGTTTATATTCGTGGGGGTTAATGATGCGCCTGGAAATACTTGGACTGCTCAATCCTAGTGTAGCCACCGTCTTCATGTTTGAGACACTCGCCGACAGTGCAGTAGGATAAATGCTTGTCAAGGAATCACCTCTCGTTTGTTCTTGTGAAATCAAAGCCTCTGTAGACGCAGCTAAACTACCACGACCATGGAGGTGGGTATCACTTCCAATCATGGAGCTCCATGCTGCAGTCAGAGACTTGTTGCTATTAATGATGTTTTTCAAGTCAAAGGAAGTCCATCTTAACCGAGCAGGTAGAAGGTACTTGCCTGATAGACAAATGTAGCACAGGACTACTCCCACTAGTGTTAATCCAAAACTCATGAAAATCTTGTTGTGATTCATTGCCTTCAAACCTCCGTCGGATTTCTCAACCTGCTTGTGGGCTCAGCTCACCATTCAGTATGTTTCTCAATCCGTGCGTTGATGTCAGAATTTGCAGCAAGCTGAAACGACCGATGCCACTTCCACCTTCAGCCTATCCTTGACTCAAGGCGGGCGTGGCTACTTAGACACACAACGCGCACCTCGGCTGCTAGCACGACAAAGACTACCAACGCGAGTGGCGAAGCCACGAGCGACTCAACATCTGAACAGAAAGCTCTAACGTTTTTCCACTCATTATCTACCTATAAATTTCGGTAGAAAATTTTAATGCATAATGCATTATACGTTGTGGATATCTACCAACAAGAACGTAGAAACACACGCATCCGCTTATACTATGACTTCACACGCAATCACGAGGAAGGCACGCTGGCACTCTGCATGAGAGCAAATCATCATGAACAGTTGTGTGCACGCCTGCTGGACGTTGAAATCAATTGCGCAAATTAGCTGCATTTGAATTTTTGTAACCGCCCTGAATGCTACATCGCTCATAAGTTGAATGAATAAAATTTAGTGATTAGCTTCGCGAGATGGTAAAGGCGCTCGTGGCTTCCCCGCTCGCATTTATCTTTCCAAATTCATGTGACCGGCCGAGCATCCATTGTGCGCAGTTGTCTCGCGCGTCTTGACTAGAGGCAACCACACATTATGTTCATGCCCCTCACTTAGTTTGTGTGCATGCGTACTGAAACCCACTACAGCCAGAAGCCAGTGAAATGGCTCTTGATTCAGACAGGTAGATCCCAAAAGTAATTGATCAACATCAAAATGAACCGCATTTCAGACAAATGGCTCTCGATCTTGAAGAAATGAACAGATGGATACAAACGAATCATCAGTCTTCCAGCAAGTATCACCAATGGTCTGAGGGGAATTTGACAAAAGTGTGAAACATTGGGCACAAAGTTAGGTAAAAAATAATTAAATATAATTCTAATCATCCATAATTATCTTTTTTCGTGAAATTGACGTTTTCCACTTCTTTATTTTCCGGTGATCTTTCTTACCAAAAGCGATGAAATATCACCATTTGACATTCACTCACGAGATCTTAAAGGGAAACGACAGGACAAATCCCTCACATAGGTCCCCATCGATATGATTTTTTTTACAACCAAATTAAAGATCTTCATCTTTCATTTCTAATTTTTTCCACTTATTTTCCTGTTTTGTTTTTCTCTTTTTTTCCCATTTCATTTCATTTTCAGGTTCCCCGTCGCGGCGCTTGTGATCATTTAGGTCAACCAGTAGAAATGATTGTGAAAAATTGAGTGTATCTGTCAGGTATTAAAACTACCAGTGTGCCTACATATATTCAAAAACCGTGTTCGTCTTTTAAATTGTACATTTTTGAAGTCAAACCCCGCTATTTATGCGTGTAGTGCAATAAAATCTCTCTCCATTAAAATGAAAATTGAGTGCGACGCAGTTGATCTAATGTGACCTCCTCAATCACATACTGTAGTGCATGCAAACTAAAAAGGCCATGTTAGTAGTGGTGATGAGCTATCATATCAGTTCTTTCCAGTTTAATCAATTTATTATCATCTGTTGTCAATTCAGAGTTAGCCACACTGTTCAGTATTTAAGAAGTTACAAAATTGTCCACGGAAACGTTAGTAAATGAATTTGGAAAGCATGCAATATCCAGAAGCTGCCACTAAGCCCCAGAACAACATATTGAACAAAATGTAGATGTAATCAGCAGCAATAGGTTATGTAGGAAATTTACAATTTCCAAATACGAGAAATGGTGCTTAATATCTTGACATGATGAATGAACGGCAAATTTAACTTCCGAAAGATAACAATGTCTAATTACATACATACATACAGGACGGAGACAAAAGTCAAAATTCTATGGCAGAAAAGTGCACCCCTCCTGCTTAATTAATCCTCACCCAGAAGCATCTGGAAACTGCATATACAACAACAGAACGCGGTGTGTCGATCCCTCGTCGTGCCTGTGCCGTCCGTATTTTCGTGTGTGCCAATGTGGCTGCACCGCACAAAAACCAACTGTTATAAACCACAATAAAACCACCTTCCAATTGGAAAAAAATACGAAATTTCTCCCAACTCTGCCATGTGCAACTTGTGGGATAATTCCACCGCCATATGTTATGTTCCACGGAACTTAAGTACATGTAATTATTCAGGTTATAGTAACTGCACGGAAACCGTACTGAATACACGTCAACTGTTTTATGCCTAATCATGTAGTAGTTAACATATAAGCCCCCTCGATTCATGCTCACTGTGCCGGTTGTAGAGTAATTTTATATGCTTCTGTACGGTACCACTGTATCCGGAATTGACCCACCACTGATGTATGAGTAATTTACTGTCTGGACATAATACTGTATTCATTTACAAAGCTCAAATTTCATACTGCTATGTTCAAATGCGCTGAACGATGGATGAAGACACTAAACATCACTGAGCGAATTATAATTAATGGCACAGAAAGGCGCCTCAGGCAGCCGCCAAACGACCCACATCCACCTACATCTATATAAAGTATGTGATAAGAAGCCTTCGGAATAAGGAGCTGAAAACCCAATCCATGCGAGGCCTGAGAATTCTACTTTCTTGCCAGCTTGGTATGCGTGCTTCATAACATCCTTTATAGGCTTCTTTTCTTCTCGATGTCAACAGCAGGAAGATCTTGCATGATGTATATACCACAACTCACAAGGGTAGACTTGGCTCGCTGCAATGTGGCCTGTCGCTCATATCTGTACATGAACTTGCAAGTATATATGTCTTGGCTTGTTAGAAGGGGACTTGGGAGGTCTTCCAGAACGGTGCGCATTCTCTATGTCTGGTTCCAAGCCACACTTTTCAGGCAGAATTTCATATGGGAATAAAGAGGACTCATCAGGAAGCTCCGGGATCCGGGCTTCATAAATTCTTGAGGAAAGGCTCGCCGTTTTAGATAACAGGACTTTATTTTCAACTTGTGCCTCGTCCAGCTTCTGTGCAGTGAAGGAAACTGACTTTTCCAAGTCGTGGTATTTTTGTTCAACTTGATCCAGTCTTGATATGAGTGACTGTTGATTCACAATACGGCCGTTTCACATTAGTGCGCCACCAAGAGTTTGCAACGCATTGGCCAATCACAATGCGAGAAATTTGTCGACCCAATGCGCGTTATGATTGGCCAACGTGTTGCAAACTCTTGGTGGCGCACTATTGTGAATCGCCCGTATTATCGTGTTAAGTTTATCTTGTAAGCCCACCTTCATCGTTCTTATCTCCTGCTGAATTGACGTGATGTAAGGCAGGAACACCAGCTTCATGATGGATCTGGCGTTACTAGAAGTCCGCACATCAGAGGCGTTATTGGAAGACTGCATTTGCGACTCAGACAAGGTGGGATTTTTGGTCTTTTCTGGGTGGCATGCTTCTTACAAGCTGAGATATAGAATGTCTAGGATTATTCACCAATTGGCTGTAATTCTGGCCACGAGTGATGAAGGCCACGTTACGATGATGGTGGATATTTTATGCTTTGTTTGGAAATATTTTGTGGAGCATATTGCAGGTGTGTGTCAGTCCATGGAGAACATTATCGACCTTACAGTGGCTTCAATGCCAGAGGCTAACAAAGCCAGAGAAAGATCGAGGCCAAATCCACCAACAGACATGAATACACGCTTGAAATATTGAACATCTTCGAAAGTATTGGTTATAGGGAGGCAAAGGTGTGTTTCAGGTTAGGCTACTTAACCCAGTCAACAACGCTGAAAATGGCTAATTACACACAGCAATTAGTGTAAACCCATCATACACACGTATCTACATGGAAACAAGTGAGGAAACCCAAAGGATCCTATTAAAGTCCATCGTTGCTTTAATTGACGATTAGATCTTAAGTGACTCACAAAACAGTAGATTCGAACTCAAGGTCAAATATAGAATATATGCATCTGACCAAATACACATCTTAGGAAAGCAGATAGCCATGATATTTTCTCAATTACTTAAAATCAGTGAACCCCAGCATAGACTACACGGTAGAATACATGTATAATCTCAACATCACTAGCTATGACAGCAAAAAGTTGGCCTGGTCAACCATTCCGTGACCGATATTAGGCTAGGAAACAAAATACATACAAGTCAATTTCTACCAAATGACAGGTAAACTCGAAGACACAACACATGATTACCTAGGGAAAAAACCTCTTTTTAAAATAACCTAAATCTCAATGGGTTATGTATTTGAGAAAGAAATCGTTGAGTTTATTTGGCCAGGGCGCCGGTATTTTTCCCATGCAATATATGTATGTAAATGGTTTCGTGGGAAGAATACTAAATTGCCACTCGACAGTTTCATGGCTGCTTTAGTTAAAACATGTACATGTATATTGTAGCGTCGGTGCTGGAAGACCAGTGGGGTCGCTAGCACGAATCTATGACATGGTACAGGGTCCAGACTGGTAAATCAGTTGCCATAGACAACAGTGATAAATATCCCCACTTCAACAAATCAGGAAAAATACAAGTTTCACAGGTGTTCAAGACACATATCAAATTAAAGCTCACTTCCTCATCTTTCATTTTCCTTCGATTTGCAGTTGCTTATCCGATGACTTTTTAAGATATTTCTCTCCAGACAAAATCACCCTCAAAACAGTCAGGAGGTCCATCGTGATTTTGGAAATTGAAGCCTACACTCCATGGCAAAGTAGAGCAATTTGAAAGGCCCCGTTTGTCCGATACTTTCAGAAATACAAGCTGACAGTCCTGCCCCTGCATTTTATCAACAAACCAACCGGTCCACTGGCCACAAAAGGCTCAAATAGCAGAGAATTTGACAGCCTACAAATTGGACCTTTTTATCGGTCTACAACCAACAGGGCTGTTTGGTCATATGCAGCAAGGTATGAGACGGAGAGAA